TTACTGTATTTTCCCTTTTTCGTTTAATAAATTGGGTAATACGAGTGTAATGGTGACTAAAGGGTGTTTTTTCATGTCCTCTATGCTCTAACTATGAAAATATTTGATTTACAAATAAGGAATCCTACTTCGCGGAATTTAATTTATCACGGTAGGGTCTAGAACAGATTAACCGCGATAAACGAGGGTTCACTGTATGGCTAAGGAGTTATGTACATAAGTGTCAAGTTGAGAAGGGGTGGTCTGTGGTAGTTACATAAATTCATGTTAACTTGAAGTGTAGGAGTGGAGTCTAGCCTGTCAATCAGGTCACATAGCCTGCTGGTGCCTCTTTGTGGGCATGACCTCTTCCCTAAGGAGGGTCCTGGGAACTCCTCCCGCTTCTCTCTGCTTCACCTTCTTGCTGATGAGCCACATGAAGAGCTCCCGGAGCCAGGCTAAGACCTGCAAGAACCCTGTGATACTTCCAGCACCATTGGATCCACAAGACTTTGCACCTACCGGCCAGTGATCTTCCTTCCTGCATTCTGCATCAGTTGCATGAGTCTGAGGAAAGACTTATGGACTAGTATTGAACTTATGGACTGATTCTGGATTAGGCTGGGATGTTTGCTTGACATATAATTTACCTCTTGATATAAAGCTCTCTCTTACACCTATACGTGTCACTGAATTTGCTTCTCTAGTCAACCTGACCTAACACATTCATATAAGTCAGCTTCTCTGATGACTTGCTCAGCATTCAGATTGAACAAATATGGTGAGAAGATACAACCCTGATGCACACTGTATTAGTCAAGGTTGACTAGAGAAACAAACCGAGAAACACTCATAAGTGTGTAAGAGAGAGCTTTACATCAAAGATCAATTGTATACTGACAAAACAGCCCAGCCAGTCCAGGATGATGGGTAGAAAGTCTTGTGGATCCAGTGGCTGTGGAAGCATCTCAGTGCTGCTGTAGGTCTCCACGTGGATCCTCCAACTCTGAGTGTGGCTTCTCAACAGAAAGGTGAAGCAGAGAGAGTATGGCCCACCTCCAGGGAGAAAGAGAGGAAGTTCCCAGAATCCTCATATGAAGTCTACGCCCACAAGGAGGCATCACCAGGCTGTGACCTGATTGATAGGCTAGCCTCCACTCCTATATTTATTCCAAGGATCTGGGAATGATAGGTAGAGACCACACCTATTCAATTACGGATATTCACGGCTACTAAAGAGACCTTTTAGTGGACAAAGCCAATAAATATGTGTGTATGTAAGTACATATCTAGTAGATACTGCAAGTCTAGTTCCAAATCATTACACCAAAGCTCTCTTAGTGCATGCGTTATGTGTTGAGCTGCTAAGTGGAAGATCATCTGTTTGAAGTCACTAGATGCTTGGTGGGAGAAAGACAAGACTTTTTACTCCTGTAAAGAGTTACAGTTTCAGAAACCCACAGGGGCAGTTGCACTCTGTCGTGAATTGATGGCAGTGAGCTTTTGAGTTTAGGAAGAACCATCTGGAAAGGCATGCTATGGTTCTGCTAAAATTATATTTCACTCTGGAAGATAAGGCTTTCTACTCCTGTAAAGTTAGTCTTAGGAACCCACAGGGGCAGTTCTACCCTATCCTATAGGGTTGTCATGAATTGGAATCCACTCAATGGCATTCAGTTTTGTGGTGACTGACTCTGTGGGAGAGGACAGAGTTATAGCTACTCTGGACATTTCTAGGTATTTACATTCACCATTATTAGACCAAGTTAGACTTTAAAAAGTACTGACTCAAGTTTTTTTGTTTTTTAAAGCAAAATGTTAACATTTTCAAAATATTTTTGTTCAGAATAAACAGAGCAGAACATTCCTATGATTATTTTTTTAATGTTTTAATGCCAAATCTATACAGAAGAACTAGGAAAAGTTCTATGCAAAAATTCCTTTCAAATAATTTGTTTGATGGAAATCCGGTGTAGTTCAATACAACTAGACACTTTACTATGACTAAAATACCTGTTTAAGAATGAAACAAGTCCTCTTAAGTGTTCTGTTCCTCTTGTGAGGAGAGTGCTTAAGATTCTTTGCCAATGAAATGTCATTGCCAATATCAATCTTGCAGAAGAATGAAAATGATTTAAAAAGCTATAGCTGTTTTGTTAGTTACTATCATGACTAGCTGAAAAATTAGCCTTCTTCCTAGCCTTATGAGATGAGAGTTAACTGAACAGTAACAGAACAGCTGCAGGCGCGGAGTGAAAAGGCTTAGTTAAGCGCACTTTTCAGGGTTCTGGTTGCAATGGGGGTTAGGCGCTCCCAACTGCAGGCCCAAGGTTCAAACCCACACGCAGTTCTGCAGGGATCGATGAAGCTGCCTGCCGCTGTTATGATTGACAGTCTCAGAAATCCCAAATAGGGAATGCTATGAGTTGGAGTTTTTTTTAAATTTTATATATTTTAAGGATGCAAACTTCTCTTCATCCAAGTGCTTTTCAAGTGAACATCATTCCCTCACATTGTAAATACTTTCAACTCAAGACCAAGGAAGGAACCCTCACCTGGAGCCATTTAAAGAGGGCACAGGGAGGGCGAAGAGCTGTGCCCGTGAAACTGCAGGTTCAGAGCCTCTCCTCTCTGGGCGTGGCGGCAGAACGCGGCACTGCTCAGCCCAGCAGCCCACGAGGAGCCTTCCTTTTCTGTCTCTACAGCGCCCC